TTCCTTTATCTTTGTTCCCTGTTGTATTTCATTACTGCACTTGTTATCTTTCAGGGCAAGTGATGTTGGAACTCTTCACTATCGCTTGTGCCTCACTCGCCTGTCTAAGGAGATTAGTTCACTACCCATTTCATGTCACTGAGGCTACAGAGTTTATAATTAAGTAATGTGGAGCTTCTTTGAGTGTCTAACATGTCTAGTTGTAGAAACAAAAACCATGAGTGGCCTTCAATGGAATTTGGGAGTAGGATTCCAAGGAGAGAACTACCTTGCAAGGACAGAATGGGAGGTAAAGGAAATGAAGGCCTGGAAGCTGCCCTTTGCCACAGTTTCGTTCTGGTGCTTGTGGGCTGTCACCAATAAGTGGAGCACTGTGAATGGAGAAGAGCTGTCTTGTTCTTAATCTTAGTATTGTAGTGGCTGTCAAGGATGGCCAGGAAGAGTCATTGCAGAGGAAGCCTTGCTGGGTGGGTGGATAACTGAAGCTGGAACAAGCATACAAAAAGCAGAAGCCATGCAGCAATATGCATTTTCTTATATTTTTAAACTTACCCTCTTAAAAACAGGAAGTAAGTTCCACGTCTCACCCAGTCCCTAGCCAGTCTCTACCAATGTGCTCCAGCCACTCAGTTTGAGAGCCTACTCGAGAGCAAATCCAACAGGAGAATACCGCTCAACCTGTCTTCCTGATTAGATCCCATTGGAGAGTTAGTGAGTTATTCATAATTTAGATCTGTTTTAAATTGGTTTATACTTAGTATTTGAACTCGTCGTTGGACACCTGGTGTCACTTTTGAATACACAGAATAACCTAGATGGAGTCTTATACTCAAGACTGTTCCAAAATTAGGATCCATTTTGGTCAATTTCACTGTCAGGAAAATTGTAAATTTTATGATTTCAGCTATTTAAATCTGAGTTGTCAAGGTGATTATAGGGGTCCTGAGCCAGAAAGGAGTTGTAAGGGTTTGCACTGCTGCTATCCTTCTGCACTGCTGCTAGCTAGGAGCCCAGCTTTGAAGGCAGAGCCACTAGCAAGGCAGAAGTAAGGATGCCATGGTATGGCATTTCCACTCTTCTGCACTGCTGTCTGCAGAGTTGAGCTCTGTCAGCAGCCACTACTTTCCAGTGGCCCAGCTCTGAAGGCAGCACAGAAGTAGGATGGCAGTCCCTCACTCCCCTAAAATAACCTTGTGACATCCACCTTTTGGGTCAGGACCTCCCCTTGCTGGTATACCTCATGAAATCTGTATAATATAGTGTAAAGCACACAACCAGATTTCATGTTTCATGATGCATTTTTCATGGCCCCAAGTTTGTCTGCACCCTATTTTTA